AAGAATATTATCTTCAAAAGAAGTTGAGCTGGGCATGGTGGCATGCATCTGTAGTCCCAGCTACTTGGGAGGTTAAGGCACTACGGTGAGCTATGATGGCACCACCATGCCAGCCTGGGTGTCACAGTGAGACCCCATCCCTTTAAAAACAAAAAAAAAGTTGTAGAAAAATGTCAACATACAGAAAATTCTATTTCCGGCTAAAGCATCATCCTAGAAAGTCATCTGCAGATACATAACGTGTACTCCCCACAGACTCTTGCTGGAGGAACTGACAAAGCAAAGGGCAGAGATCCCTGAATAAAAGTCCATTTCCCTTTTCTCTTTCCCAGAAAAGATGGGGCTGCCTTGTATCTGAGTTTGAGTAGAAAGCCTTATGTCTGATCAACTGCTCCCCAGGCTCCTGGAAGAGCTCATTGCGGTAACAGGGAACTGAGGTCAAGGAGCAGACCCGGGAAGAGCTTCAACCAACTATTTCATAAAACGTGAGCAAAAGTTATTACTTCCAAATTAACATATTGTTATAAGATTTTAAATACGTATATGTCATTTAATAAATTAAATGAAAATAGATACTTTACTATTTATGCACATATGCCTAATAAATAGTATTGAGTCAGCTGCCAACTACTGGGAAACAACAAAGCGAGATTCCTAATTTGTTCTTTTTCACTAGATCATTTCCAGATGCATCAAAGACTCAGCAGGAAAATGACATGACGATAAGATACAAGCGGCCCCACAGTAAGCCCCCTACATACACACAAAATTAAAGTACAAATTGAAAACAGGAAATCCTTTTACCTATTTAGATTGGCCCTCCAAATAAATTTTCTTTCTCTCCTTTTTTTTGAGACAGAGTCTTGCTCTGTTGCCCAGGCTGGAGTGCAGTGGCTTGATCTTGGCTCACAGCAACCTCTACCTCCCAGGTTCAAGAGATTCTCCTGCCTCAGCCAGCCAAGTAGCTGGGATTACAGGCGCGTGCCTCCACACTTGGTTAATTTTTTTTTTTTTTTTTTGTATTTTTAGTAGAGACTGGGTTTCACCATGTTGGCCAAGCTGGTCTCAAACTCTTGACCTCAGGTGATCAGGTGGTAGCTCAGACCTGTAATCCCAGCACTTTGGGAGGCTGAGGTGGGCAGATCACTTGAGGTCAGGAGTACGAGACCAGCCTGGCCAACATGGTGAAACCCTGTTTCTATTAAAAAAAAAAAAACAACTAGCTGAGTGTGGTGGCACACGCCTGTAATCCCAGCTACTTGGGAGGCTGAGGCAACAGAATCGCTGGAACCCGGCAGGTGGAGGTTGCAGTGAGCCGAGATCACACCACTGTACTCCAGCCTGGGCAACAGAGCAAGACTCTGTCTCAAAAAAAAAGTTAGGTATCATGAAGAAGTTTGCTAGAGACAACATTTTAAGGAATCCCAGCTTTCTACAGGATCAAGGAAATGCCATGTGCGGCTGATTTCTGGAAGGCGCAGAGGGAGGGTGAGCTCCAGGCACTGCCCACTCTGTGGGCGGAGGGGCCTGCAGTCAGGGTCCCACAGCACCTGCCTCCTGCTTCCCCCTGCAGGCCCCTGAGTGGGGCTGTTCTCACTCCCCATCCTGGTCTTGGCCTGAACCCTGCAGCAGGCAGGTGAAGCTCCTGGTCTCGGAGGGGCCCCACCACTTCACCTGCTGGAGTTGGCTCCACAGTCTGAATGGGTATTGGCAGGAACCAGTGTCACCAGAGCACAGGGGACGCCCCAGCACCTCCCCCCACAGCCACGTATATGGGCACCGGCAGCGCGAGACAGGCTCTATGCCTGAAAGCAGCTGAGAGCCAGTGAAGTGACCGTCAGCTTGCTCCCTGCAGGATGGGGCCCCTTCCCAGAGGTGGACAGGTGAGGACATGCACTGAGGCAGCTGCAGGTGACCCCTGGGCCACCGGTGCTTGGGCAGAGTAACTGTTGTGAAGTGGACTAGAGAAGCATCTAGAAACAGCCGCAGGCAGAGCAGGTCCTGCTAAGCCCCCTGGCTGGGCAGCTGTCACATGTTGAGTAATGATGATATGTTTGTCACAGCTGGCCATTCTGTACTACTTAACGACTGCAGCCACATCATTGTGAACCAGATTAGTGATCTTAGGAAAAAAATGCAGATAGACCAGTCTTGCCTAAACCTTTGCAATCAGGACTGATCTTTTTAATTTTTTAAAATGTTTTTAGAGACTGGATCTCCTGTGTTGCCCAGGCTGGAGTGCAGTGATTCTTCACAGGCAGGATCATACCCACTGCAGCCCCGACCTTCTGTGCTCAAGTAATCCTCCCACCTCAGTCTCCCAAGTAGCTGGAACTTCAGGCGCACGACACCATGCCCAGCTAAGAACTCAGTGTTTAGGTGGGAAGGACGGTCTTCCCAAAAAGAAACAAATGGAGTATGTTAGGTATAATCAAAGCCAAACCAAAAGTCCCCATTCTTCTCTTCTCACTCTACTTTCTTCTCTAAAATGCCAAGAAATTGACAAACTTCTACTGAGTCCTCCCTGTGGATGTGTGCGTGCATGCACACACGGTCTAACATACAAATGTGTGTGTGCACACAGTCTCGCATACAAACGCATGTGCGCATAGTCTTACATACAAACACGTGTGCACACAGTCTCACAAACGCGTGTGCAGTCTCATAAACGCGTGTGCACACAGTCTCACAAACGCGTGTGCAGTCTCATAAACGCGTGTGCACACAGTCTCACATACAAACGCATGTGCGCACACACACACAGTCTTGCCTCAGGGAGTGCTGGGATTACAGGCGTGAGCCACCACACCCAAACGAGGAGACATCTCTTTAGCCAGATTTGGGCCTGGCGACACAGGAACTGAAGAAGGCAGAAAGTGTCTGGCACTCAGCAGGGGCTCCTCTACTGGATGGGTGGATGGATTTATGAATGGGTAGGTAGGTGGATGAATGACTGGATGATTGGGTGGATGGGTGGATGGGTGAGTGAAAGGATGGATAGGTGGGTGGGATAAGTGGTTGGATAAATGGATGGATATGTGGGAGAATGGGTAGATGGATGGATGGATGGATGAATGGATAGATGGATGAATGGATGGGTGGATGCACGGATAGATGAATGGATGGATGAATGGGTGGGTGGGTGGATGGGTGGATGGATAGATGGATGGGTGGGTTGGTGGATGAGTGAGTGGATAATTGGATGCATGGGTGGAGAGAATAGATGGATGGGTGGATGGGTGGGTGAATGGATGGATAGATAAGTGGGATAAGTGGTTGGATGGATAGATGGATGGATGGATGCATGGATGGATGGATGGATGGATGGATAGGTGAGTGTGTGGGTAGGTGGATGGATGGATGGATGGGTGAGTGTGTGGGTAGGTGGATGGATGGATGGATGGGTGGGTGGGTGAATGGATGAATGGGTGGGTGGATGGGTAGATGGATGCATGGTTGGATGGGTGGGTGAATGGATGAATGGGTGGGTGGATGGGTAGATGGATGCATGGTTGGGTGGGTGGGTGGATGGATGAGTGGATGGACACATGGATGGGTGGGTGGGTGGATGGATGGATGGATGGATGGATGGATGGATGGATGGATGGATGGATGGATGGATGGATGGATGGATGGATGGATGGATGGATGGATGGATGGGTGGGTAGATGGATGGATGGGTGGGTGGGTGGATGGATGAGTGGATGGACACATGGATGGGTGGGTGGATGGATGGATGGATACGTGGGTGGATGGATGGGTGGATGGATGGTAGATGGATGGGTGGATGGGTGGGTGGGTAGATGGATGGATGGATGGGTGAGTGGGTGAATAGATGAATGGGTGGGTGGATGGGTAAATGGATGGATGGTTGGGTGGGTGGGCAGATGGATGGGTGGATTGATACATGGATGGGTGGGTGGGTGAATGGATGAATGGGTGAGTTGATGGATGGTAGATGGATGGATGGGTGGGTGGGTAGATGGATGGCTGGGTGGGATAAGTGGTTGGATGGATGGATGGATGGATGGATGGATGGATGAATAGATAGGTAGATGGATGGATGGGTGGGTGGGTAGATGGGTAGGTAGATGGATGGATGGATGGGTGGATGGATGGATGGATGGATGGATGGATGGATGGATGAATAGATAGGTGGGTGGACGGATGGGTGGGTGGATGGTAGATGGATGGATGGGTGGGTGGGTAGATGGGTAGGTAGATGGATGGATGGATGGGTGGGTGGATGGATGGTAGACGGATGGATGGGTGGGTAGATGGATGGATGGGTGGGTGGGTAGATGGATGGATGGGTAGATGGATCGGTGGGTGGGATAAGTGGTTGGATGGATGGATGGATGGATGGATGGATGGATGGATGGATGAATATACAGGTGGGTAGATGGATGGGTGGGTCGATGGTGGATGGATGAGTGGGTGGATGAATGGATGGGTGGGTGGGTAGATGGATGGATGGATGGATGGATGGGTGAATGGGTGAATGGATGGGTAGAAGGATGGGTGGTTGGATGGATGGATAGGTAGGTGGGTGGATGCATGGAGGAACAGATGAATGACTCACTGAAACACTCAGTCATAAAGCCAGTGTCCCTTGCCTTTCTTAGGAAGTCAGCCCGGGTGTGTCTGTGTCCAACAGGCCCAGCCTCCACCTCAGTCAGGAGACTGCTGCCTTTATCTGGAGAAGTCTGTGGCCATCTTTGCTGCTCGCCACAGAGCCGCACAGAAATGCCAGCTGCTTTGCTAAACTGTGGCGTTGTTCTCACAATGGTGCCAGCAAAGTGGGTTCCCAGAGCGTCCGCAGCTGAGATGAGGTCCTGCTCTGTGCAGTGGCCTCCAACCAGGCCCCACTCACAAGAGGGGCTTCTGCACTCCTTCGGGCCTTCCTGAGAAGGCTGCGGCCAGAGCCCTCCCACTGACCCCAGGCACACACCCAGAACCTGGCCTGCACCCAGGCCACGGCCTCCACTTCCCGGACTCACCTTCAGGCCTGCCCAGCTCCGCACGGAGCCTGTTCCCCATCTCGATGAGCTGCTCCTTCTCCAGGCAGAGGCTGAGGATTTTTCTGGCTGCCTCCTTCAGCTTCCTCTGGAGTTGGTGCATAGATAAGGTCTGGGGGGCGCGTGCCACCGGCCGGAGGTGCAGGAAAAGCTCCCCCTGGTCCTCGGCCTCCACAGGCTCTCCCTTGGCGAGGCCCTGTAACAGAACTCACAGGTAGACACCCCTGCGAGGCTGCCCTCATGGGAGGATGCCGGGGTGCCTGCCCACGGAGCCTCTTCACCTGCTCTCCCAGGGTGGGCACTGCTGGGTGCCACCACTGGGTGACGTCCTTCCAAAAGAAAGACAAAAAGGGTCGCTGCTCCCAATGCCTCAGTGGGTTCCTTCTCTTCCACAAATAGAATAAAGGCCCACAGATCTCCCAGGCCAGGGTGGCCCCCGGACCCTCACAGCCCTCTGCCTCCTCCCTGCCATCCCTGCCTTCTGGTCACATATACCTTTGTGTCTTTCAAGTGAACACAGTGAGAATCTCAGGACATCCAACCAGCACAGCAGCTCCCCAGGGAGAGCAGAGAGAAGGCTGTGGCCTCTAGCAGTGCCCAGGACCCAGAAGGACACCTCCCGCTGGCGTGGCTTGGCCCTCCTCCACGCCTCGGGGTCCCTCCTTTCTCTACCTGCCGGATGGACACCCCACAACCACCCTGCAGGCTGGCTGTGGCTTCCCTCCTGAAGCAGGCGCAGGGGGAGCACAAAGGCCGTGGAGAGGGAGAGGCTGACACGGGGGCAGTGGAGCTGGGGGGAGGCCTGGGCCAACCCTAGATTTGAACCCCTGGGAATCACTGTGTTGTCCTTGCTCAGCCTAGCCCGGACTTGTGCCTACATCATGCCAGTGCTACAGAGTGCAATCCCAACACAAAGGGATGCCTGGACCAAAAATGGGGGCACAGGAAAAACCAGTGGTGTCCAGGCCCTGGTGAGACGGAAGCCGACGACCTACTTCTCCCGTGCCGCTCCTGGCCCCTGTGAGGAGCCAAGCTGCACCTTGTCCTGGCCACACGAGCTCTGAGTCCCTGGAACAGGCCAGCACACCCTGTCCCCACCAGCTTCCTGGTATGCCTCTCCAGGGCTGGCAGGTGCTGCTGCCTTCCGGGTGCTGCTGTTCTTCGGATGGCCTGGGGCGCATCCACCGTATGCAGTGCCTCTGGGCATGTGCCACAGGTTCATGTGGGATGCTCGGGGGCCGGGGGGATGACACAGCAAAGGGGAGAGATGTCTGCCTTCCTCTTGGACAGAGAAAGTTCTTTGGCGCTGCAGGCCCCAGCTGAGGCCAGGTGCAGGGCAGCCCCCACAGAGGCTCGCCACAGGCCTGAGCCCGAGTCCAGACTCGCTTCCTCCAGTGAGCGGGCCTTGTGCCTCCGTGAGCACCCTTGGCAAGTGTGGCGCAGAGGCTCACTCGCGGCCCTGGGAGGATGGGCAGGAATGGGCTCTCGGGCCTAGGAGAGGCCAAGGCAGGTCTGGAGGAAGGGAGGTCTTGTGCTGGTGAAACAGGTTGCAGATGGCGCAGCGCTGGGGGACAGCAGCCAGGCAGGGGAGACTCCAAGTCCAGGTCGAAAGCCCTGGGTCCTCTACAGGAACACGCTGGGTTATTTTGTTACTTTAACTGAGGAAAGAACAATCCTGAAAACAGATTTTGCAAACCTCAAAACACTTAGAGATTTAAGAGACAATTCCCTCTTCAAAAGCAGTCCCCTCTACCCGCAAAGATGCCCGATGTTGCCCCAGGCCCTTGCGGCTGGTGCCAGGCTTGAGGGGCACTGAGGGGCCTTCTTGCTGTTGACCCCACAGGCACAGGAAGGAGGGCACAGATTGCAGGGCCCACGTCCTAGTCAGGTGATTCTGACACAGTAACCTGGGGGGCAGGGAGTGAAAGATTCTACCTCTCTTGGATCCAGTTTCTGGTAAAATGTTATTTAGTAAAAGTTTATTTTGATGATTCTCTAAAATCTTTCCACAAAATAAGATTTCTACAGCCTGAGACACATTCAGGAACGTCTTCACCAGTGTGTGCTCCAGGGGCTGCCCACCCACCTGCCCCCACGCCTGGGACTGCCCCAGCACCCCCTGGTGAGGGAGAGATGTCTCCATGTATCTGGACAATTAGGAGGAAATTAGAAGGAAACTAGAAGGAAACTTTGGTCTGCTGAAATGTCTTCACGTCTTGAGGACATGTGTGAGTGAGTGACACACAGAAGTCCTTCTCAGAGGCTGAGGCCTGGAGCTGGTACAGTGGGTTCCATCAGGCTGGGTCGGTGCTCACCACCCCACACAGTCACTCCAACGCCTCTCGGCAGAGCCGGCGCCCATGCCATGGCCAACACTGCCCCCCAGTGGACCCAGGGACATAACACATCCTCCAACTCAGCCCCGGCGGCCAGTGCCTGGGGGGAAGTTTTGTGTTTTAAGGACTAGAGGCAGTTGATGTGGGTGGTGCAGTCAGGGAAGGGCAAAGCCAGGCTGTGCGGCTCAGCCCAGTGGGGCCTGCCTGGGAGCAGAGCGCCCCACTGTTGTCCACAGGCTCTCCCTCTGCCACGGGAGAAGCGGGAACACGTGCTCTGCACACACCTGGCCTCGGCTTTGCAGGCCTGGCTCCTTGGCTGGGGCCGGGGAAGGGACCGGCTTTTGTCAGGGGTGCTGGAGGACACTCCCTGGGCCCCTGTGCGCTTCCTCACCGGCCCTGCACAGGCTTCCTGCACTACAGGAGGTAGGCTGGAGACGCCGTGCTGCGTCACACCTCAGTACTTGGGTGGATGCACACAATATGTGACCTGGTCCATCGCCCGTGTGCAAATGTCACCAGCCATCCGGATAACGCCCTGACGCCGTCTCTCCTGTGCAGGGTCCAGGGTCCCACGTGGCGTTTCTACGGATAACGCCCTGACGCCGTCTCTCCTGACCCACGTGGCGTTTCTACGGATAACGCCCTGACGCCGTCTCTCCTGTGCAGGGTCCAGGGTCCCACGTGGCGTTTCTACGGATAACACCCTGACGCCGTCTCTCCTGTGCAGGGTCCAGGGTCCCACGTGACGTTTCTATGGATAACGCCCTGACGCCGTCTCTCCTGTGCAGGGACGACGGTCCCACGTGGCATTTCTACACTGTCTCTCCTGTGCAGGGTCCAGGGTCCCACCTGGCATTTCTACGTGGGGTCTCCCAGGTCTCCTAACTGGAGTGGCTCCCCAGCTTCCATGTTTGGGCGCCCACCAAGCGTGCAGAAGTCCTTCTGTTTGGGCCTGCCCGAGGTTTCTTCATGCTTAAGCTCGGGTTCTGCATCTTTGGCAGGGACCCTGAGAGTGAGTCTGTGCCGTCTCAGTGTGGCCCGCCCGGAGGCAGGTGCACCCAGTACGGGCGATGGGAGCTCTGATCACTCGGCTCAGCTGGGGTCCAACAGGCTGCTCCACTGGAAAGCCAGCATTACCCTTGAAAATAAGTCACACGTGGGAGATGCTGCTTCGCGTCCGTCTGATGGGAATCCCTCTGGCTCAGTACCCATCTGTGATCGCCCAGCGTGCCATTCCTGTCGCGTTCCTTGGCTGGCACTCTCGCGTGGAGGAGCGCCCCGTTCCCCTGACTGATCTGTCCATTGCTATCAGCCTGGACCCATTATTTCCTGGTTGAGTCAATGGATTATGGTCTTCACCATCACTGCCTATTGGCCTAGATCTCGTCAGTGGGGGCCCCTTTCTGCTGGTTCCTGTGCCCTCCGAACCTGCCTCCATGCTGGAGCCCCGGCTCCTGTGAGCACAGCAGCAACCATGGAACCAGTGCCTGGAACTGTGGAACTGGCATCTGCTGCGGCCGAGCCCAGGCCGTGGGCCCTCTCAGGACAGAGCTGGGATCAGATGCACACGCAGCTCTACCCACTTCTCTCTATACCCAACATAACGCACACACTGATCCTCTACCTGAGGCCGCGCCCTTCTCCGTCTGGGCTCCTTTCCCGGGGGCTGCGAGCAGCAACGACCTGGGCCCGCCCTCGTCTCCAGGAGCTCAGCCACGTTGCTTGGCAGAGGACAGAGCTGCGGTGGGCCTCGCCTGGGTGGAGAGCCCCGCCACAGGATGCTCAGACCCAGGAGGAGCCTGACTGTCCCCTCCATGCACACAGACACGGAGCCCGCAGTGTTTGCCCCGCCTGCGCCTTAGCTCCAACAACTGGGATTGGGCTGCAGGTGGCTTCAGCTCCCACTCTGTCTGCCACGGGATTTAATTCCTCCATTTAAAACTCTGCTTATTTGGGCCAGGCACGGTAATCCCACCACTTTGGGAGGCGGAGGCAGGCAGATCACTTGAAACCAGGAGTTTGAGACCAGCCTGGCCAACATGGTGAAACCCTGTCTCTACTGAAAATACAAAAATTGGCCGGGCGTGGTACACCTGTAATCCCAGCTACTTGGGGGGCTGAGGCAGGAGAATTGCTTGAACCCGGGAGGAGGAGGTTACGGTGAGCCAAGATAGCACCAGTACACTCCAGACTGGGCAACAGTGTGAGACTGTCTCAAAAAAAAGAAAAAGAAAAAATTCTGTTTATTTGTATAAATTCTTGCCCCTTCATTCTAAACATGTGGGAAGACAGCGAACTACGCAAGGGATGCCAGTGAGAGCTCCTGGGGCCCCTTGCTGCCCAAGGAGGTGCCCACCCGTGTCCAGGAACACACGGCGTTCAGGTGGGTGGGACACGTGTGGGGGTGCAGACATGCTGACCCCCACGGTGCTGCTAGCTGGCCCAGGGGCCACAGCCCCCACCGGGCAGGAGCCACCCTGGAGTGGCTGGACTGGGAGCCCAGGAGGGCTAGGGTGCTGGGGACCCCTGAGGACAGCACCTCCGTACTAAAGGTACAGGGGCAGGTGCAGCTCAGTATCTTACCAACCAGCTCAGCCCTTCCTGTGCACACTGGCTGGGCACCTGCTGGGGCCTCAGGCTCCCTCCGCCTTCCCATACCTGCTCTGTCGTCCCCCTGAGGCATCCTCATGGTCTTGCCCATCCCATGCCAAGGCAGCTCTGGCCTGCTCCTCACTGTCCTGGAGCCTGAGACAGCCACGGCCCCATCTTCCTCAGTCCACTCTATTCCAGTCCGAGTCCCTGAGGTCCTGCTCCCCAAGCATGGTGCCCTGGGGATCCACGCTGTCTTCCACTTTGTGCCTTCTAGACAGCATCTACCGTCCCTGAAACCTTCTGTGGATTCATAGGTCACACAGGTCATAGGTTGCTACAGTTACCCCAATTACCAACAGTCTGGGGTACGAAGTCAGGGAGGCTGGCAGTCTGTCCTTCACAGCCTTTCCCTCTGGCCTTAGGTAGGAAGAAGGGAGCCCTGCTGGTCGGCTCTGCCAAGCTGCAGAATCAGGACCTGGGGTCATCTCCACAGCTCAGAGCTGTGGCTCAAACCCAGCCATGGAGTTGGGGGTCACTCCCTCGGGGCCAAGGCCCTGACCAGGACCAGGATAGGAGAGCCGTGGCATGGAGCAGCTGCGTGGCTCTGAACGCAGCAGTGAAGGCCATGTGGCCCCCTCCCCACGCAGGGAGGGCCCACCGCTAGGCGTGGGGCAGGCAGGACTGTGCACGCAGACGCCCCCTCAGCAGGCCATCAAGGCCCTGCATTAAAGTAAACATGAGCCACCTTCAGTGTGTGAGTTTCCAACACAAGATGCTGTTAGCTGAAGGGAGGACTGGGATGGGCCCGGGCCTGCCCCCACCAACAGGGCGTCAAGGTGAAGGACCAGGAAAAGAGGAGGCAAGCGGAGGAAGAAGGCGGAGGAAGAAGGGGGAGGAAGAAGGGGGAGGAAGAAGGGGGAGGAAGAAGGGGGAGGAAGAAGGGGGAGGAAGAAGGGGGAGGAAGAAGGCGGAGGAAGAAGGCGGAGGAAGAAGGCGGAGGAAGAAGGCGGAGGAAGAAGGGGAGGAAGAAGGGGGAGGAAGAAGGGGGAGGAAGAAGGCGGAGGAAGAAGGGGGAGGAAGAAGGGGGAGGAAGAAGGGGAGGAAGAAGGCAGAGGAAGAAGGGGAGGAAGAAGGCGGAGGAAGAAGGGGGAGAAGGGTGGAGCAGGGCCCACTTCCAGGCACAGCCTTCACTGCAGCTCTCGTCCCACCTGAGCTCCCAGGGCATACAGGCAGCAACGCTGGCAGAGCACAGGCAAGGGCAGTTTCTGTGGCAGGAGCCTCGACAGGCGGGTGGCAGGAGGAGCTGGCGGGCACCCACCTCTCTCCCTAGGGTCACGGCGTCCAAGGCTGGGGGCTGCTTCTGGACTGAAGGCTCTGCTCCCCCGTGGTGGGCTATCCTGAGATGCTTCCCCAGCTCAGCCACCTGTTTCCGCAGCTCCAAAACCTCCAGGTGTACCTGGTCCACTCCAGGGGGAAGCTCACGCTGGAAAGCTGCCGGCTCCAGGGGTTCCCGCAGCACCTAGGAGCCATTTCGAAGGCAGTGTAAGGAGTCAAGGCAGCGGCTGGGCTGGAGCAGGCCCCTGGGGCACTGCCGGGAAGGCTGTGAGTGCGGGGAAAGAGCAGGGGAGCCGGAGACCAGGGCCTCCTCCCAGCGGATGGAACTGCCCTCGCCCTCCGCCCCACCGCAGCCGCTGCTCCTCCTGCCCCACCAGCTGGCCGCCCGCGTGGCCCCCCGGTACCCTGCTCTGGACTCCCAGGCTGGTGGGGAGAATCCGTGCATGGACAAGAGGCAGAGGCCTCGAAACCCTTCCTGAGCCCTCCTTCCAGGGAGAAACAAAAGCCCCAGAGTTGCAAGTAACCAGTAGGAGGTGTAGATTTTTCTCTTCTGCTAATCAAAGGGGCAGAAATGGGAGGCCAGAGGGAGGCAGGCCAGGAGGTCAGAGGGCTGAGGCTATTGAAAGGTAGGTGGATAGGCCGGGTGCGGAGGCTCAGGCTTGTTAATCCCGCACCTTTGCGAGGCCACGCGGGCGGGTCACGAGGGTCAGAAGATGAGACCATCCTGGCTAACACAGTGAAACCCCATCTCTACTAAAAAATACAAAAAAATTAGCCGGCGAGGTGGCAGGCGCCTGTAGTCCGCAGCTACTCGGTGAGGTGAGGCAGGAGAATGCGTAAACCGGGGAAGGCGGAAGCTTGCAGTGAGCCAAGATCGCGGCCCCCCAAACAGTTCGCACGGAAAGACGGCAGCGGAGACGGACTGACAAGCGGCAAAAACGGGCACACGGAGTGCTCCAGCAGGTGGCGGAGCGAGAGACCCGGTCTCAAAAAAAAAAAAAAAAGAAGGCAAGTGGAGGACAGGAGCCCGAGTGAATGGGGGGCTGGGAGAGGGAAGTCGCAGGTCACAGAGTACCTCTGGGAGGCAACAGGCTGGCCATGAGACCCACCCTGGGGGCCCTGGGCTGGCCTCCAGCTCTGGCTGCCTCTCACTGACCACACCACTCCCGGCGAGAGGAAGGAAGAAGAGCAGCGCAGGTGATTCCCGCCTCATTCCCAGTAACATAAAATATTACTTTCCCTATGCCAGGGACTCCTACGGTGAATTCCTTATGAATATTTCATTTTTGAATTTGCTACCTACACACAAATAAAGGTTATTATTTAATTTACAGACACTGCTAAGTAAAAACCCAACCAAACAATAGTACTTCAAGGTGAACATTTTCCCCAGGATGATCAAATCATCTATGATTAACCAAGGTAAAATTAAAAGCTTGTATTTATTTGTATTTATTTACTTATTTTATTCAGATGGCATCTTACTTTGTTGCCTCGGCTGGTCTCAAACTCCTGGACTCAAGCGATCTTCTGCCTCAGCCTCCCAGAGTGTTGGGATTACACCTGTGAGTCACCACATCCAGCCTGTTTTTATTTTTAGAGACAGGGTCTTGCTCTGTTGCCCAGGCTGGGGCACAGTGGCGCGATCGTGGCTCACTGCAGCCTCGACCATCTGGGCTCAAGCAATCCTCAGCCTCCTGAGTAGCTGCGATTACAGACGCACCACCATTCTTGGCTAATTATTTAAGTTTTTAGTACAGATGGGGTCTTGCTGTGTTGCCCAGGCTGGTTTCAAACTACCGAGCTCAAATAATCCTCCCACCTCACCCTCCCAAAGTGTGGGGATTACAGGCATGAGCCACCGTGCCCAGTCTTGTTTAGTTTTTGTAGGGACAAGGTCTCCCTATGTTACCCAGGCTGTTCTCAAACTCCTGGGCTCACGTGATGTTCCCGTCTCAGCCTCCCAAAGTGTTGCGACTCCAGGTGTGCACCACCATGCCCAGCCTAAAAGCTTTTTAAATGTTTATTTCTTGTCTGTAGGATTTGTGTGGGAAATGGGGGAAACAGCAACTGCAAAGTGTCGGGGATCTGGAGCCCCGTCACGGGTACACGGATCTTCAGCCGCCTCGACTGGAGCCCCTCACGTGTACACGGATCTTCCTCGACTGGAGCCCCTCATGTGTACACGGATCTTCAACCCCTCCCGACTGGAGCCCCTCACGTGTACACGGATCTTCCTCGACTGGAGCCCCTCATGTGTACACGGATCTTCAACTGCCTCGACTGGGGCCCCTCACGGGTACACGGATCTTCCTCGACTGGAGCCCCTCATGTGTACACGGATCTTCAACCCCCCCCCGACTGGAGCCCCTCACATGTACACGGATCTTCCTCAACTGGAGCCCCTCATGTGTACACGGATCTTCAACTGCCTCGACTGGGGCCCCTCACGGGTACACGGATCTTCAACCCCCCCCCACTGAAGCCCCTCACAGGTACACGGATCTTCAACTCCCCCGACTGGGGCCCCTCACGGGTACACGGATCTTCAACCCCCCTACTGAAGCCCCTCACAGGTACACGGATCTTCAACTCCCCCCACTGAAGCCCCTCACGGGTACACGGATCTTCAACCCCCCCCCGACTGAAGCCCCTCACGGGTACATGGATCTTCAACAGAAATGGAAAAGTAGCCAAGTTCCTCTTCACTGCAACAACAAAGATGCACGTCCCATCAAGGTGAGACGTTAGGCATCAGCAGCAAATGAGAGGTCTGAGGGTGATGCACATGTTAATTAGCCTCATTCAGCCATTCCACAGTGTGGACATGTTTCAGAACATCATGTTACACACCACAGAGATATATCTCAATTGAGGAGTTTTGTCCATTTCTTTCTTTTTTTATTTTTGAACGGCAGTGCTCGCCCTCCGCCCAGGCTAGCGAGTGCAGTGGCCGGATCTCAGCTCACTGCAAGCCCGCCTCCTGCGCTTCAACCACGCCATTCTCGACCTGCCTCACGCTCTTCCTGTCGCTGGGCAACTACGACAGCGAGCACCTCAAAGGGGATCAGCCTGGCTATATTTTTAGTATTTTTACGTAGAGACCGCGGGTTCACTGTCAGCAGACACACATGGACTAGAACTTCCAATTGAAACACAGCTGATCTGCGAAGCCTCTCGACTCCGCCAAAACCAAAAGGTGCTGGGCATTACAGGCTTTAGAGCACCGCGCTCCAACAATTCACAAACAGGACTTTTTTTTTTTTTTTTTGAGAGGAGGTCTTGCTTTGTCCGCCCAGAGCCTGGCAGTGCAGTGCGGCAATCTCAGCTCCACCGCGATACCCTCCGCCTCCGCCGGGTTCAAGCGATTGATTGCCTGAAGCATCAGCCTGCGAGTAGCCTGGGATTACAGGCACGCACCCACCACTGCTGGCTAATTTTTTGTATTCCTTAGTATGACATGGGGTTTCACCATGTTGGACCCAACGACAGTCTCAATCTACATGGTGATCTGGACCCTCAGTCCCATCCCAAGGTGCTGGGCGATTACAAGGCGTAGAGGCACCTCGCCCAGCCAATATCATGATCCCAATCATCCCATCCAAACATCTTAGGAAGATAAAACTAAAAAAAAAGATATGAAAAAATCAGGCCATCCAATTTCTGAGCACTGCCTGCTTCCCTTGTCGGCAGTCGGGAATCTGGAATACTTTGTTCTTTTTTTTTTTTTTTTTTTTTGAGACTGAGATCTTGCTCTGTCTTGCCCGCGCGCGCTGGGGCAGTGCGCGGCACGGATCTCAGCTCTGCAAGCCCGTCCAGGTTTCGCCATTCTCCACTTCAGTACAAAGAAAAAAACATTTTGCCTCCCGAGTAAGCTGGGACTACAGGTGCCCGCCACATTAACAAATCGCCGCAGCTAGTTTTTTGTATTCTTAGTAGAGACGGGGTTTCACCAGTGTTCAGCCAGGAGGTCCTCGATCTCCTGACCCTCGTGATCGCGCCGTCTCAGCCTCCCCAAAGTGCGGGATTATAAGCAGGCCCTCTGAGCCAGCCGCTCTGTGCCCTGGAATACTTTGTTTCTAGAGAGATGTTCTGCACTAGGGAAGAAGCAGAGGCTGCAGGGAAGGTGTGTTTTACGTATTTACAATGTGACAGGACATGTGGAAGTTCCCTCGTTAAGTCGCCTCACAAGGAATAAAGGCAACGGGATGAGGACAGCACGACTCAGAAGCACAAGCAACAGGAGACGTGAACAACGGGACTGGATCAAAACTGGAGACATTCGGTGTCCTTCAAAGGACACCATCAAGAAAGTGAAAAGACAGGCCGGGTGCAGTGGCTTATACCTGCAATGCCAGCACTCTGGGAGGCGGAGGTGGGAAGATCACCCGAGGTCAGGAGTT